AGATTATGTAAAGGTGCAAATTTCCAATGATGAATGTCATTATATTGTATACCTAAAATGTACCAATAAAATTAATTTTAAAATAGAACATCATCGGTACATAAGGGAGGCAGTAAACATTAATTGATTTTCAGTACTTTCCTGCTCCAAACTCCTTTTTACCATTCTAAATGAAATCAGAGAATGCTTATCAGTTTTCCTTTTATACAGCTCCTTGGAGATAGCATTTCCTACACACCATAGAGACATATTATTATGTAATCCTAATAAATAGTATAACTTTTGCCATCTGTTCCTGGAAATATCTTTAGGTTTTTATTTTTTAAATGTTTAATTGATATTCTTTCTCTGTTCCAGAAGCATATTCTTGCATGTCCATGTGTGTAGTATGATTCATTTTGATGAAGATTTAGAGATGAGGACAACAGGAGGGGATATTATTGAATGCAGAAATAAAGACACAGAAGTCAGGAAATCCAACAGAGTTTTAACCGCAAACATATTTTAGTACATTCTTTGGTTGGTATGGGAATTGGTGGGAGGCGTGGCTTGTGGTATTTGAGAACAGAGAGCAACGAGAAGTATGTTTAGAATCCCTTAAATGGAATGAATTCAATTATTTTTGTATAAAGTGAAAGATTAGGTTACTTAGATCAATTTACTATACTCTACATAAAGCAAGTAAATATCAATAAATATTGTTACAAGAATTGTAGGGAAAAGTCCTAGCTCAAGGTGTCCCAAATGTCCAGGCCTGGCCATCTGTCCCATAGTGTCCATCACAGAGAAGAGCAGAGGGGCAGAGCAGGAAAAGTATAATCAGCACAGCCAGACTAGAGATGACAAATAGGGTCTCAAGATCTGTCTTCAAGGGGCCGGCAGATCTTCAGGGCGTTGTAGAAAAGGGGAAGAAAGGAAGGGCCAGGGGTCTGCAGAGTTGGGTGTTCACATAGGTGGCAGGGAAGAGAACCCTGGTCAGTGTGGCTGGTTGATGCAGAACGCTCAACACCTGCCATTTAGTCCCCAGGGGAAAGCCTTGGATCCCATCATGGGGTAATTGCACCCCCTTGGAGATGACCTCATCATGTGGTCATCTGTGAGACTCTGCTTTTCCTGGAATAAGAGGTGGCTATGGATTTAGATCAATGACTTCAGACCTCTAGGCGCCCACCTCTCGACAAAAGATCTGCACGCGCCCGCCTTCCGAAGCTAGGTGCTGGGACCGGGCCCCTCAAACGACCCCACCACTGACAGTCACGGGGCACCCAGGGCCAACAGGTCGACCGGGTTGTGGGACCAGGTGGGAGGAGGGGGAAGGGACCGGGCACACACACACCACCACCACCACCACCACCACCACCGCCACCCCCGGCCCCCTTGCCCGAGCCTCCTGGTGTAGCCAGACCAGACCAGACTGACCGGACCGGAGGGCCCGCTGATAAGCGGGAGGGAGTGCTGGTCGACCCGCCCAGGTCGACCACCCACCTCTTCCAACCCAGCCTCCGCGGGGCCCAAGCCAGAGAGCACAGCGACAGACACCAATGACATGGCCCGGCGGGCCCAATCTCCCACTACCAGGCCAGGCAGGTCCGCTCGGGCACGACCGCTGCAGTCCCGCCTAGCAGTCCCGCCTTGCCTGGGACTCTTATCTCCGTTACAGAAACCATATTTCATCCCTTACCACGCCGACAGCAGAGTAGGTCAGAGAAACAAACCAAAGTGCCCAGCAGGTGGAGCCCCACAGCCGCCTCGAACAGCAGCGGAACCCAGCGCGATCGCCAGAGGGCTCCGAGCTCCGAGCTCAAGGGGCAGGACGTGGAAAACCACCCGGAGTTGTCCAACCAGGGGGGTCTCCGTGCGGGGGGGAGGGGGGGAGGGAGGAGAAAGCGAGGGGGGGCGGATCGGACAGCTCTCGGAGCAGCACCAGAGGTTGCCGGGCTCTTCCCCGCCCGCCAAGTCACGGGCAGGCTCGAGCTACGAAACCGAAAGTACGAACAGAAACCGAGGAAGGGCCGTGGAAAGATCGCTTGGATCCCATCCTCTCTCCAGGGCAGAAGGCGACCTGGAGGCAGGAGGAGGAGAATCTCTCTCTGTCTCTCTGTCTCCCCCCGCCCCCCCGTCGGAGGTCCAGGTAAACAGTGGCGTCAGGCCGGTACTCAGACCTTAGCAGGCCCCAGGGGACCAGAACGGGGCGGGGTGGGGGTGACGGGGCCCGGAATACCGTACTCTGCCAGATTTAGGTCTAGAAACAAGAGTCAACACATCTTACACGTACAATCGCTTATTAGGTCTCAGGCCCGAAGACACAGGCCTTCTATTTCTAAAACGAGGCATGCACGCGCACACGCACACGCACACGCACAAGCACCCCGAACAACTCGTGAGCATTTAAAAAAAAACACATATGCACACGCACATATACATGCACATCCAGGAGTGGCTCATGTGCATAACCAAAAATGGCCATCCAAGTGTATATGTACGTTTGTGTATGTCTGCATGCGCGTACATCTATATGTGTGTGTGTGTGCTAGGCATATAAGTACGAACACATGCACATGTCTACACTTACGAATGTGTTTGTGTACATAGGTACATGTATATATGTGTATGCACGCACACCTACGTACTCGTATGAAAGCACATAGATGTATGTATGCATCTATAGACGTATATGCATGTACTCAGGAGTAACCTTCGTCCACAAAGAAAAAGAAACTGACATTACAGATTCAGATATAACATTACCCAGGATTAGCCCCTGGGTGTTAAAATACAAAAAAAAAAAAATTATAGGCAGGCATGCTAGTGCACACCTGTAATCCTAGCTGTTGGGAGACGGGGTCGGGAGGATCACGGTGAGTTTGAGTCTACCCTGGACCACACGGTAAATTCAGGGCCGGCCAAGAGCCGGAGATCTAGCTCAGTGGTGCTGCTGCCTGCCTCGCAAGCGCAAGGTCCTGAGTTCAATCCCCGGTCCAAAAAAGAAAAAAAAAAAAAAGAGGGCTCTCTGCCCATCCAGGAGTAAGTCGTGTGCATGAAACAATACGTGTGTGTGCATATGTGTGTATTAACACGTATCCTTAAAATATATATCTACAGCTATCCCTGTCTATCTCCAGGCTTCCGTTCAAGGCAGAATTCTTCTTGACACTGCCCGCCTTCTCTCGAAGAGGCCGAAACCTCCCTAGATCCACTTTCCCGTACATCCTACATAGACCTCTTTACAAGCCACCTTTCTATCTCGAATGGATTCTTTCTACAAGGTCCGAAGCAGGGGCAGAAGGGTGGGCGGAGGAAGCGGGAGGCCAGAGGAAGAGCGAAAGAGCGCGAGATCGGTGGCGGTGGCCGGGGGTCAGGGGCCGGGAGATGAGGCGAGGGACAAGGGAAAGGCGGGGGCGGGCGGGAGCAGGGACTCGGTGGGGGGCGGACACTGAGCGAGGGGGCGGCTGGGAGGGGAGGGGGAGGGGGAGGGCCCTCCGCCCCGCCCGAGGGGAGCTCCCCTGGGAACCTTCGCCTTCCTTCCGCTGTGGGGGGGGGGGGGTCGGGTTTTTTGTTTTTTGTCGTCGTTGTCGTTCTGGGTGGGACACATTTAGGCCCACAGCCAGATCGAGCAGAAAGAAGAGGGAATCCCGCAGATCCCCTCCCCGAGGCAGGCGCCCGCGGCCGGCCTGGCCCCTCCCCACACTCCCAGACGGGCCCGCCCCCCCACCCCCCGCCGGCTCCGATCGCGGGCTTGCTGCCCGCTTCCGATTCTGGATTTGTACCCTGTCCGAGGACCAGAGACGGAGACCCTGACATCGATGGGAGAGAGGGGGCTGTAAAATCCAGAACGCTAGGGTGCAGGAAGGGGGCCGGTGGGTCCAGGAGGCAGAACGTTCAACCCTCTAGGGGACAAGACAAGGACCTCCCAGCTTGCAGTGTCCCCAAGACGGGTGCGCGGGCTGCGGGTGGGGAAGGGGCAGTGACGGAGCCAAATTCCTCCCCCACTCCCCTGGCCCAGCCCCGTGCTGGTGACCCCTGCTCTCCCTGCTCTCCCCCGCCTGCTGTCCCCCTCGGCCTGAACAGACCAGTCAGGGGATGCTAGCGAGATGCCCCGCCCGCCTCAAGATGATGATGATGGTGGTGATGATGGTGGTGATGATGGTGGTGATGATGATTAAGAACACTGGGCCAGGGATGTAGCTCAGCGGCGCCGCATCTGCCCGGCAAGCACAAGGCCCTGAGTTCAATCGATCCCCAGTACGGGGGTAGGGGGAGATAAATCATCATCAAAAATTTTAGATCGGGGCTGGTTATGTAGCTCAGTGTGAAGGTCCTGCTCCAAACCACACACCCCACTCCCTGGGCCCGAGGCAGGAGGATGGCTGCGAGTTCCAGGCCAGCCTGGGCTACAGAGTGAGTTCAAGGCCAGCTGGAATGACAGAGCGATACTCTGTCTCAAAACACACACATACACACACACACACACACACACACACACCCCATTAGAAAAATATCCTCAGTACCAGGCATGGAAGACTGGTGTGGTGACACACACCTGTCATTCTGTCATCCTAGCACTCGGGGAGCCTAAGGGAGGCAGGCGGGCAGGAAGAGTGCCAGGAGTTCCACGCCACCCCAGACCACACAGCGAGACCCTGTGATTCTATTGAAAAAACAGAGTCAAAGTCCAGGGTCCCCAGTGCACACCCCCAGGAAGCATCCAGGCCGTAGCAGTGAGGGAAAGGAAGACCAGGGCCAGATGGAGGACACGGTCCGTCTGAGAGCAGAGACAGGTCATTCGTGCTGCCCAACGGATAGGTGTGTCTGTGCTGTGTGGTGGTCAGGAGAAATGGAAGGACAGACAGCCAGAAATCCAGGGAGGCTCCATGTAGCCTGTGACCTGAACCCAGAGTGGAAGGGATGCTTCCACCACTTCCTCAGAGAGGAATCCAAACTCACCGTGCCCACCTGGGCCAGTGAGGATGAAGGCACCCACCCATGGATGGATAGATCGATCGATCATGAGGTAAATAAAGTGCATGGGCAGGGCGGGAGGAGGTCCAGGGGAAAGCCACATGGGGCATGGTGGGCTGATGAGGACAGGCCAGGAAGGTAGGAGCAGCTCCAGGGTCAGGATGGGAACGAACGGTGGCGGCGGCAGCATGGCTTTCCACAGAGAAGTGATGGGCCTTAAACAAACAGCCTCCCCAAGGATGGACAGCCCGCCCACCTGCCCACTGCACATTTGCAGGTGGGAAGCCACCTCCCACGCCATGCCATCCATCCATCTGTCCACCCCTCCACTCATCTGTGGGCACATCTCCCACCTCCTCTCCCCTCACACAGCCCGGCCTGCCTGTCACAGTGTGTTCCTCCTGGCCAGGGGACAGATTCTCACTCCACCGGTGCCATGACGACCCCACGCTGCCTGCCTGCCCGCCTGCCTGCCTGTCTTTCAAATGAATACCTGCCCCTTGTCACACCACCACCCTGCTTGGCCAACCACACTCAGTCACACCAGACATTCTCCTATGTGTGTCTGCTGTCTGTGAAGGCAACAGGGTGAAAACACATCTTCACCCCATCAGCACACACGCTAGACTGAGCAAGGCTCTGCTGTGGCCCCAGAAGGGTCTCCGTCTCTCTCTCTCTCTCTCTCTCTCTCTCTCTCTCTCTCTCTCTCT